GGCATCGACACATCCCTTCAGTAGAAGCGAAGAAGCGCTCAGTAGCCCTCTGCATCTCTCTTCTGACCTGCCGGTGCCTTCGGTCAGCTCTACTATTGATCACGTCAGCCCTCCAAGTGCTATCGACAAAGCGTTGCCACAGCCTCTTTCTTTCTTGAGAATGGATTCGCACGAATCAGCGAAATCACCAGTCTTCGAGGACTCGCCCAACTCTTCTCCGTCAGGCTCGCCGCAGCTCGGCGGCGTATTGCCAGTAAGATCCGAGCTTCCTGTGATACCCCACCGAGTCGTTTCGCGTAGAGGCTTGCAAGCCGACGTCCTAGCAGCCTCATCCAAGGCGCCTTTGAGCGCGTATTCGGTGCTTCGTGTGCCCGCTCGTCGCCTGTCCAACGACCTGCGCGGTCCTCGCGCAAACCGATCCTTTTCGTTGCCCTACATCAAGGACCAATCGCGTGCTCTTCCCTCCAGACCTCCGCCTCCCTCTTACACGCCTCCAGCTCCACCGGCCAAACAGTGCGGATTGAAAGATTTTCTTGCTGCGAGTACAGACTCGGCTTCATCAAGCCCAAGCAGACCGGAATCACCCCTTCTACCACCTACCGCTATCCACATTCCTCTTCCACCTCCACGCGACAGTAGCGCCTTGCTTTGTCATGTAGCAACAGGCGCTTGACGGTGGGCCTTGCACGCGCACTGCCGAATTGCCGTGATCATGATTTCGCAAAGATGAATCCACACTTGCTTGATGCGTTCGGCAGAGGATCGACCTCTCTCGTGACCGAAGTCCGGCCCCGAGCTGGCAGCGTGTGCTTTTCTTCACAAGGACTTTCACGAGCGCGGACCGTGGCAGAAGGGGTCAATCAATGCTGTGAACGTTTGTATCATGTTCGCGGCGGTTCTCTGAAACGCGCGCCAGCAGGGCCTTCATCCCTCCTTGTGCGGCCCGTCATCTCCGAAACGCGAATGGATGCAATTGTGGCGTCTTAAGCGTCTCGTGTCTGCAAGACCGTACCTCGATGTGACCATTCTGACTGGCCCGTTGGCGGTCGCACGGCGCCAGATGGATATACGTGTCATACGCTGGTCAGTCGTCTATTCTTTTTGCTTTCCTTTCACCAGATCATGTCATCCAGGCGGGCCCTACCCTGTCTCCAACCAGTCACTGCTCATACTCCAAAGGCAAACGAGGGATCCATGTCAAAAAACTTCGTCGTGACAGTCTTGTGCCTTCTGGCCAGCAGCGCGCAGCTGACAAAGGTGGAGAGCAGGGGCTGTTGTACGCAAGCCGCGCTACCTCGTTTCAAGCTACCCTTTGACGGGTCTCTTCCCGTCTCCTCCTTCGTCCGACAAAGACCTTCTTTAGAAGCGCAACAGTGGCAAATCACAGAACCAGATACGTTCGACACTAGCGGAGGACACGAAACTTTGCTACCTCCGCCAACGAGCAAAGAGCAAGCAAAGGCGTCGGATGAAAAGGAGAAAAAGGAAAAGGTGAAACAGCTGCCCTCCTTTTACCACGAGGATGTGGACCATCAAGGCGAGAAACTTTTGGAGCTGCAAAGAGACCCTGCTGGTACTGAAGAGCATTGAGAGCCTTGGGGGCGGACACAGATAAAGTGAGTTGTCGGCAAATAAGGTCGCCGTAAAAATGCAACGCATCGTCCGGAAAAGCCTTCGCTAATCAGTCTAGGACTTGGGACGACTCGCGATTAAGATCATATGATTATCTTCAGTTTGACTTGGCGGCCGTCTAGGGACTTGGAGTACACCACGAGAATGGCAAGGCCGAAGCGTCAGCTTGACGCTGAGGAGATGGAGAAGGTGATCGGGCCCGAAATGGCGGGTCGATCACTTCATTCGACGGGCAATCGCTGGCCCTCTTCTTCGACTTCGAGCGCTGTGGCTTCCATCGCAGCTCCATGATCCTGCTCCTCAACAGCTTCAGTGGTTTGTGCCGCCCCGTCGGTATACTCGACATGCTCTCCGTTTGTAGGGAAGGACGCGCTCTCGGCAGCTTCATCGCCAACGTCCTGATCTGCAGGTCTCGCATTCGCCAACGCATCTACGTCGTTCATGTCCCTAAACGCAGCTCTTCTAGCCTCTTTTGCTTTCTCTCTCGCCTTTGCTGCCTTGTCCGCGTGAAAGTGA